CTTCCCAGCTTGGCTTCCAGCCCTGGGGCACCTTCTTGCCCCCCCCAAGGACTAACTAACCCACCTCCCTTTTAGCCCACCTCTTTACCTTTGGGGAAAGTGGCATCTTGAGAGTGGCCATGCCCCCAGTCAGCACCTGCGGGATGCCCTCATAGTGCTAACTGGCCTGCCAAGGTTGGGGACCCTTGCCCTCTAGGCCAAGGCAAGTTACCGGCACAGAGGGCCGTCCCCGTCTCCTGCTCAGGGCCAGGATGCTTCTGGCTTCCTTTTAGATGGCTTCTTTTTTGTTTTTGATACACCCACCCCCAAATGAGCAACTCTTCTCCAGCTCTGGCACCACCCCTGTCCTCCATGATTTTATATATTCATAATATAATGGCATATGAGGGCTACCGAAATGGCTGAACAGGCCTGTGCAGTAAAAGGGTACCTTGTTCAGTGGTTCTGCAACAAGCTGGGGGGAAATCTTGCAGGGCTCCTTTCTAGCTCCCTATTTATCCGTGACTTGGGTGAGGGGTTAGGGAATAGCAAATTTGTAGTCTACCCAAAGATAGGGGGTAGCAAACGACGCAGAGGACCGGATCTTGTCAAACTGGAACCTTAGGCAGAATCCAGCAAGATGAATCGCAACTGGGACAAAATGCAAAGTCCTAATTTTTGGTAGGAAAAATCAAAGGATAGGATATATAACGGGAGGACTATGCTAGGCAGCAGAACACGTGAAAAGGGTCTGGACTCTTCTCACGTGTGCTGAGATGAGCAGAGGACTAGGTCAAGAGGAATCCTTGCTCCTTTCTGTCCTGCATTGGTCAGACCACCCCTAGAAGACAGCATCCGGTCTACCACACTGGCAAACCGGAGGGTGTTCCGAGGAGAACAACCAAGATGGCAAAGGGCCTGGAAGAATATGAGGAACGAGGAATGGCTAAAGCACTTCTTTAGCCTGCCCTGCAGAAGAGAAGGCTGAAAGGAGACAAGGTACTTCTCTTCAAGTAGCTGAAGGGTGTCCTGTGGAAGATGGGGCAGAATTATTCAGACTTGTTCCAGGACAAGAAGCAAGGGGCTTAAATTTCAGGAAGTGGATTCTGGTTGGACATCTGGAAGAATGTCCCAGCATCGAGTGCGGTTCAGCAACGGAGCAAACTGCTATACGTTGTGAGGTGGCTGCTGGAGGAGTTTACGTAGAAGCTGGAAGGTGAACTGCTGATAAGCAGATTCTGCACCGGGCAGGACATCAGACTAGATGATCTCTGAGGTTCCTTCCAACCCTCCCATACTGTGGCTCTAGCCGTAAAACGGCTGGATGGGACCATTCACTTAACCAGGTCAGTTAAAGAGTGAGCACATGCAATGCTTGCTAGCCTTGTTTAGGATCAACTTTGGTGACTTTTCTCACCAAAAGAAAAGCATATTATGCGAAGCCAACCTACATGGTTAGTTTAGGGTTCAACAGATCATGTGAATCTGGAAACTGGGTTAATTCAGTAACCAGTTAAGCGTACCATGTGGTTAGCAAATAGTTCGATATATTTGACAATGTTTAGTATAAATTGGGTTAATTCAGTGCAATCAGATTAACTGTGTTGCATAAACCCACACCCGCCTCCTTGAGACAGTGACCTCAGCCCCGGACCCAAGGCGATGAAGCCGTAAGGGAAGCAGAGGTATCGGGGCTCCCGCAACAGGGATCCTCCTCCATGGTCCCGCTCCGGGCCTGGCCTTGGCCCGCCAGCTGCCAATACACCCACAAGGGCTACTGGGAAGGGTCACCCTCCCTCCCCAAAAACCCCATGGAGAGCAAAAGAGGCTCGCGCAGAGCTTCTAACTGGCTTTGGAAAGGGTGGGTGGGCAAGATCTTACCGACTGGGCACTCCTCCTCTTGTTGTCGCCATCCTGGGCAGCACACAAACCCAGCGGAGCTGCGGAGAAGGCGAAACTGTGAGTTAGGAAAACCACGAAGCACCTTCGCGTCTCCGACCAAGCAGGGGGACGTTTGCAAAGCCTCCCAAGTGCTCGAAAAGAGCCACGCCGTGAGAAGTAACCCTCCTTCTTGCCACCTCCATGGCCACCCTCTCTGTGCCCAGCTCACCAGCGCCATAGCGCCTGGCCAATCCAGCCCCCTCCTCACCAACGCATCACCCCTCCCGGTAATGCAACACATCTATGAATAACGTAGGGATTATATTTTTAAGCTTCGCTGCAAAGTCACAGAATAACAGATTTGCACTCTGAGGAAGACATGAAGCAATACGATGCCATGCACGCTGAATTTTCTCACTGGCTTGTTTAGATCGCGATGAGACTATCGCCACCAAGCCACACACAGAGCCCAAAGCCTTTTGCTGTGCACATCCCCAGCAACCCCGAGAGCAACTTCCCCTCTGCTTTCAGGTCCTGCCACCTGAAGAGGAGCAGCACATGAACACAATAGCTTATACCGAAATAAGGAAATGAGTAAAAATAAAACCTACAGCAACATGACTAAAACCAGGGGGAAACTTCCAACCACAATCCCTTTGCATCATTTCCCTGCTGGCTGCATTCAAGCGTTAATTATCAGCGGCAGCCACCAAAGGTTGCCCATCCCTGATTTGCTAAGACGCATTTAAATAGTGAAAACACTGTGGCATAAGTGCTGAGTGCTGTTTATCAACATAGAGAAAGGGAAGTCCTAACCCCACAACATTAAAACACTGGAAATACTGTTTTGTGACTCCTGGTTCTAAAGGCAAGGAACTGATTCATATCGGGATGGAAGAGCACGAGGGAACTCAGGTCTGTAGATGTACGGCCATTTTATTCCCAGAGTGCTGGAAATTGTATTTCTAAATTTACTCAGGGACACTTCCCAGCTTACTTTATTAATGCAGGCAGCCGAGGAGGGTGCTTCTGGAGGCATCTTTGACTGCTAAATCTCCCCCTCGCTTTGCAGCCCCCCTGGCTGTCCAGCACTCCCCAGTCTGAATAGGGAATTCCAGTGGGACCGGTTTCATCTTCCTTCAGGATGAATGGGAACTTGAGAGGCCAGGGAGGCTGCAGGGCACAGGAGTGAAGATGCCCAGGAGGAAAGACAGAAGACGCTCCCCTCATGCATCTTTTAGCCCTTGTGCCTCTTGAATAAATGCAGGAAAACTGCACTCTGCCAAAAAGAATTTCCCTTGGAAACAGATTCCAGAAGCAAACTGCCCCAACCATCAGACCAGGGAGTAAAAATCGGTAGGGAAAAAAATGCGGGAGAATTCTTTCTGCAGGGTCTTGAAAATAAATGTCAGACTCTGAGTTGTAAAAGCAGTTGCTTCTAAAAACAGCTGACAAACCAAAACTCTTCTCCCTCAGCTGGCTGTGCACAGGCAGGAAGATAGACAGAGATTTACTAATAAGCGTATTGCATTGACAGCTTCGTAACTGCAAACAGAGAAATCCATCTGTCTGGGGTTTCAGGATGCGGCTGAAAGAATGAGCTTCGTCTGCAGCTGCTGTGGCTGATCTTGAAACTTCTATTTATCCATGGGATTTATACAAAAAATAAAACTCCCTTTCTTTGAACTCTTCTCTTGCTGACTTTATGGACACAGCCATGTAGCTTTCTTGGCCACGGTATGGAAGGGATTTGCCCTTCTCTTCTTCTAAGGTGTTTTTTCAGCTTCCTGATCTAGCCTATACATGCTGGGGGCCTCGTTTAACGACCACAATAGGGACCTGAATATTTGTTGTTAAGCAGGACTGTTGTTAAGCAAGTCACGCCCAATTTTACAACCATTTTTGCCGCAGCCGTTAAGCAAATCATGCAGTCGTTAAGTGAATCATGCAGTTCCTCATTGATTTTACTTGCTGGAAGCCGGCTGGGAAGGTCGCAAATGGTGATCACATGACCCCGGGATGCTGCAACCATCGTAAGTGCGAGCTGGTTGCCAAGCGCCCAAATCCCAATCACTTGACTGCAGGGGTGCTGTGACAGTTGTAAGTGTGAAGACTGGTTGTAAGTCCCTTTGTTCAGCACCACTGTAGCTTCAAATGGTCGCTAAATGAATGGTCATTAAGTGAGGACTACCTGTACTTCCATGCTTAGCCAAGGCCAGCCAGCTCCCACCACCTCTTCCAAAATCGAAAGACTATTTTCTATGGCACTGGACACCATGATTTGGATTTGGAGGCACCACTTTCCAGGGGTATTGGAAAAAGTTCTAGGTGCATGGGAGGAATGGAGTTTTCAAAGTTGGCAGGGTGGAAAAAACCCCAAGCTTTCTCCATCCACCTTCTGGGGTCTCAATGGGATCAGACCTCCCAAGTCTTTATACCAGTTGAAGGGCAGTTTGATGGGGTTCTGCTTGGCTGATGGGATGCTGTATCTGGGACTGACCCTTGGAAGGGACTGGAAACCGTGGCTTGTGCAGAGCACAACTACGCTGTGCTTATATTGGGGGCGCCTACTTCCAGCCTATGGGCCTGACATACCTTCCCAAGGATCTGGGCAGCCCTCCACCCAGAAAACTTGCAGGCCAAGCATGCATCTGGAAGGTCGCTTCCTCCCCTGGATACAAGATTGGTTCGGAGGAGGGTCCACAAGTCCGTAGTGGTGATTCTGGGGTCGAATTAAGACTCAGGAGACCCCAGAATCCAGTGGGTGAGTTTGGAGAAGTGATTCTTTTCAGCCCCATCTACCCTCACCTGTGGGGATCTGGCTTTATTTGATCCCCATCTACATGCTACCTTGAATTCCTAGGGATAAAAGGAAATACACAAATAAGAATGAATGCCCCATGTGGGATATGGAATTTCATCCAAGGAATACGGACTTTATTTCAGATGAGCAGTAAAAACGTTTTATTCTATATAGCTTTTAATTTAAAAAAGGTAGGCAGAAGGTTTGGATCTTGTATTTTCTGATTTTGAATAGCTCTGTTCTCTGTTCTAGCTTCCCCATTCTGCTTCTTCACATCCCCAGGAAGGGCTCTTCAAAGGACGCCTGTTAAATATTCCAACTGATAAAAGAAACGGTAAAAATAGAACAAGCCCGTCAGCAGCCTTTAAAAGAGCTTTTCAAAGCCTCCTCTAGTCTGGGCTCCAGAGTACCGTTTCTACCACCCCATTTCGCGGGGCAGACCACGCAGACTGGGGATGATGGAAGCTGCAATCCCACATCCTCAGCGGGGATCTAGTTGGGGAAGGCTGATTTACTGCGATGAACAACGCAGCAAAGCCATCTTCAAATGAGGCACTACTACAAATTTATTCTTTTGCACAATTCAGCCTGACCCCACGCCCTCTGACTGAAAGAAGACCTGGCTGAAAAGGGGGCGTCTCTTCCTGTGCCCGGGGTGGCAGCAGAGCATGGCTTGACCTCCGGCCACAGGAGGGGAGGGGCATGTGGCCATCCATCACGGCTTGGCATTCCATTCCCAAGGAGCTTCCCGACAATCAGAGGGGGAATCCCACTGGGTAGCCTCAAGAGACCCTCTTCTCGCTATTGTTGTGACTGACTTTTCACTGGGTTTTCATTTAGTAATTTCATTCACTTCATTCAGTATTCTCAGCAGCAGCAGAAACAAAGAACAATGAAAACCAAAATATACTAAAACATACAACAGTGCTGGAAAGCAGATCAGTGAAGGAAAGTTAAGTATAGCTTGTATAAAAATGCAATGGTCAATGGATATAATCAACTGCCAGCCCAATATGCTTATCTGATGCAGAGGCAGGCCCTTCCCAAGCTTTCTGGGGGAAATCTGAAATGCGAAGAGTGTGCCAAGGGATGGGTGGAGCTCATCCCTTCACAAGTGCCTGCATGGTGGCACAGCCAGGAAAAACACAAAATAGGTGGACCCTGGAAATCACCAAGGGAGGGGTCTGCAGGCACACTGACGCCCCCAATGCCACACTGGCGATGCTGGCAGTGATGCTTAAAATGCTGGGCACCCACGCCCTGAGTCACTCCATGCAACTGGGTGAGGCGTGCCTGTCCGTCATCCAAAGCCAGGTGAGGCTGCGCAAAGGAAGGACCCCCCCCAGGTTTGCTCTTCCAGCCAATCAGCTCCTGCGGCCCCTGGTGCACCTCTGTGGCTTATGGGAGACACATCGCCTGCCCCAGAAGCAGCTGAGCAGAAGCCCAGGCCAGATGCGGGGTTTCTTCTGGGCAAGACACTTATGGAAACAGATGACCTTTTCCTCTGGGTCTGCCTGTCGATTGCCGCTCCATCCCCTGCCTGCACGTGTCTGGACGGGCAGCACGGATACTTCTCAAGCTGCCTCTCTTACTCCGGCTTCTGTCCAGTTTCTGACCATCTGCCACTCAGCGGTGGTTTTCCTGGGAGACAAAAGGAAGCTGGCGCCCAGCCATTTCCCTTCCTTTGCTGGAGAAAATGGAAGGATTATGCCCGTCTGTTTCCGTCTCTGCGCTATCTGCCTCCGTGGGGGAGAGCAGGAACTTTTTAAGATTCTGAGAGAAGATCGTCCCTTTGAGAAGACTTTTTCTTCATATAAAATCAACGGCCCGGGAAACAGGAGCACGCTGAGAACCCCTCCCAAATGCTGCATTTTCATAGATATCTTTGCTGTCTTGAATGAAAAGGATCGTCCTCTTTAAGAGTTTTTAAGATGGAGCCATACTTTGGCGATATCCTGCTAAACATAGTTTGATTGAAGCTTGGGGAGGCTTCCTGTGGTTGAGGGCCCTGTGCAAACTCACACAGAGCCCACCTTTATTCACGAAATATACTAATCAGCATTGTGGTTTCTCTTTCCCCTGCCAAGAAGCCTCTGCTTTTCTACCTTACGTTCAGACACATTTGAGAATTCCTTTTGAATTTCTCTTGGGGATGCTCTCCTTTGAAAGAGATTGAAATGATTGTGGCAATAGCAACTTTCATCACCTATTTACTTCCCATTAAAAGCTAGCTCTCTTTTCCGCAAGTAGTTACACACATTCCGATCAAACAATGACAGGCAGCAGGTTATGTTCAAGACTTTTACAAGTCAAAAGAAAAAAAAATAACACGGAAGAACTTGTTCTGATTCTCCCTACCTTTACTAATTTGGCTTATTATAGATTGCCATGGAGAAAAATCTGTCTAAGAGTTAACACTGACTTGATGGCACATC